CTCTCTCTATTTATTTATTTATTTATTTATTTATTTATTTATTTATTTATTTATTTATTTATTTATTTATATGTATACAGAAACGCATGCAAGCGCGGCTCGTTTACAGGAGGAGTTTATATCTTTATCTCGTTCTGTTGCTGCTGCACTGCAGCAGAAGCTGCAGCAACCTCTGGTGTCTATACAGCAGCAAATAGAAGAATATAATAAACAAATACAAATTATTTATAATCAGGTTATTTCCTCGCTAGAAAAACAAACAGAAACACCACAAATTAAACAAACCCTAGGAGCAGGATGGAGAGGTATAGGTATTGAACCCCCTTCAGCCGTCACCAAACTCGTTCTCTAAACCCTAAACCCTAAACCCTAAACCCTAAACCCTAAACCCTAATTTGTTCTTAATAACTGGACAAATGATTGTAAACCCTAAACCCTAAAGGTGGTGGTTTCACTTAGAGGCCACGCACCAGGATATGCCCTGCTATATAACCCGAGTTGTTGAGGGTTTAGGGTTTAGGGTTTAGGGTTTAGGGTTCAATAGAGTAAGGCAGTGAGGTGTACATACACCCAAAAGAGGTTTACTCTTCTTCTTGGGGCCCCCGAGCTCGCGAGACAGAGCCTTTGACGGATACATCCTTTCAGTGGTTTAGGGTTTAGGGTTTAGGGTTTAGGGTTTAGGTTTTAGGGTTTAGGGTTTAGGGTTTGACGCTGTTTTCCATTTTTTTCTTTTTTCTTAAGGCTAAATATTAGGGTTTAGGATCAACTCCTTAACTAGGAGTGACCTGGCGGACCAAACGAGGGTTTAGGGTTTAGGGTTTAGGGTTTTCAGTTTTCTATTGGCAGAATGCGTCTCATTGGTGAAAATTCGGGTTAATGTTCACGGTTTAGGGTTTAGGGTTTAGGGTTTAGGGTTTAGGGTTTTGCGGTGGACGTGGTGGTTGGTGACGACGGAGCCGTTTGTGAGTTTAGGGTTTAGGGTTTAGGGTTTAGGGTTTAGGGTTTTGATAGCAGGGTTTAGGGGGCCGAAACCCGAGGAAATAAGACGAAATAAGTGTTAAAATTAAATTTTAGGGTTTAGGGTTTAGGGTTTAGGGTTTAGGTTGGTGTTGACGCTACAAACCCTAGGCGGTGGAGTGTACGGTCACCTCTCCGCCCTGAGCACTGACCGCTAAACCCTAAACCCTAAACCCTAAACCCTAAACCCTCAAGTTGAAATCAGAACACAATAGGCTTGAATACTGTTGTTTCTGACTTTTGGTTCTTTTGCGTCATTTATTTCACGCACATTTCTGCTGGCGTTTCCTCTGTCTTTTAGGGTTTAGGGTTTAGGGTTTAGGGTTTAGGGTTTAGGGTTTCCTGCTCGCCTATCTCCAGAGGCGTTGTTTCACACACCCAGAACCCGTAAACCCTAAACCCTAATTTTGTTGTTTCTAAATTTATTTTTTAGGGTTTAGGGTTTCACTGGGTTTCCTTTGTCGCCGCCTCTGTTCTCCGCAGTAACGCTTGAGGGTTTAGGGTTTAGGGTTTAGGGTTTACGGGGGTTCTCGCCATGCTCTCCTGGCGCAGAAACCTCTTGGGGGGCGGGGGCCCCCTCATTCTTTTTTGTTTGCTGCTGTCGGTTAGGGGGGCCCCAGCAGCACAAGGACCCAAGCAGTCTCATCCACCGTAAACCCTAAACCCTAAACCCTAAACCCTAAACCCTAAACCCTAAACCCTAAACCCTGGGCGCTAGCATCTAGAGAAAAAGCTTCACCCTGAGCTCTTGCCGGTCCCCCCTGCAGTTCGCCTGCTGAATCTGTACTGTGTGTGCTGTTCTGGTGTTGCTGTTGCTGCTGCTGCTGTTGCTGCTGCTGCTGCTGCTGTTGTTGTTGTTGCTGCTGCTGCTGCTGCTGCTGCAGTGACACCCGAGAGGTTGCTGCTCGCGTGTTGGATGGCCTGGGGAGGCGGACAGGCTCCCCCCCCACCCCTGATGCTGTGCTGAAGCTGCTGCTGCACCTGCAGCAGCCGCAGCAGCAGCAGCTGCTGCAGCAGAGAGGTATCGAGGTAAGCAAACTCACAACAGAGATAGCTGCAATTGCTTTCGGGCTACCACAGCAGCAGCAGCAGCAGCAGCAGCAGAAGCCGCAGGAGCAGCAGCAACAGCAGCAGCCGCAGGAGAAGCAGCAGCAGCAGCAGCAGCAGTCGCAGGAACAGCAGCAGCAGTCTCAGGAGCAGAAGCAGCAGCCTGCGGAGCAGCAGCAGCAGCAGAAGCCTCAGGCGGAGCAGCAACCACAACCACAACCGCAGCAGCAGCAACAGCAGCAGCAGCAGCAGCAGGAGGAAGTGCAGCGTTTAGCAGCAGCAGCAGCAAAAAGTTTAATAGAGAAGGGCCTCTCCTCCTCCCTGGGGGAGCAGCGGCTTGAGGCTGCTCTTGCTGCGCTGCAGCAGCAGCTAGCAGCAAAGGGGGTAGATGTGCAGCAGCTCAAAGCAGCAATTCTTAACAAAGTTAATGAATACAAACAGCAGCAGCAGCAGCAGCAGCAGCAGCAGCAGCAGCAGAAGCAGCAGAAGGATGAGCAGCAGAAGGATGAGCAGCAGCAAGACTACAGAAAGAAATATGAGCCGCAGCAAAAACCAGAACAGCAGCAGCAGCAGCAGCAGCAGCAGCAGCAGCAGCAGGACTACGGTCAGAAATACCGCCAGCAGCAGGAAGAGCAGCAGCAGTACTACCGAAAGAAGTACCAGCAGCAGCAGCAGCCTGAACAGCAGCAGCAGCAGCAGCAGCAGGAGGCGGAGAAGAAGCAGCAGGCTGAGCAGCAGAAGCAGCAGCAGCAGGAAAGGGAGGAAAAGAGAAAGCAGCAGCAGCAGCAGCACGAGTCTATACGGCGTGCGGAGAAAGCAGCAGCAGCAGCTGCTGCTAGTGCTGCTGCTGCTGCTGCTGCTGCAACAAGTGCTGCTGAAGCAGCAGCAGCAGTAGCCAAAGCCGGTATTCATCAACCCGAGCGTGCTGCTGCTGCAGCAGTTGCTGCTGCTGCAGCAGAAGAAGCATCTGCAGCAGCAAGAGACGCAGCAACAACTGCAGCAGATATCCTACACTCGGTCATCCCAGCAGCAGCAGAAGCAGCAGCAGAAGCAACTGATGCAGCAGCAGCAACAGACGCAGCAGCAAAGCAGAAGCCAGCAGCAGCAGCAGCAGCAGCAGCAGAAGAGAATGCAGAAGACAAAGCAGCAGCAGCAGCAGCTCCAAAGGAACAAGCCGCAGCAGCAGAAGACAAGGAAGCAGCAGCAGCAGCAGTACCTGCAGCAGCAGCAGCAGAGACAGCTGCTCGTGAAGCAACACAGGAACCCTCAGCAGCAGCAGCAGCAGCGCCTGAAGCAGCAGCAGCAGCAGCAGCAGCAGCAGCGCCTGAAGCAGCAGCAGCAGCAGCAGCAGCAGCAGCAGCAGCAAAAGAGACGCAGGATATAGATATGGAGGCAGCAGTAACAGCAGCAGCAGAAGCAGCAGCAAAAGGAGAAGCAGCAGCAGTAGCAGCAGCAGCAGGGACCAAAGAAGAAGCAGAAGCAACAAAAGCAACGGCAGCAACAACAGAGGCAGCAGAAGCAGCAGCAGCAAAAGAACCAGCTGAAGCAGCAGCAGCAGCAGCAGCAACTGCTGCGCCTGCTGCTCCCTCCGCAGCACCAGTTCCTGCAGCAGCAGCAGCAGCAGCAGAAGCAGCAGAAGAAGCAGCAGCACCTCCACCAGAAGCCCCAGCACCATCATCAGCACCAGCAGCACCAGCAGCAGCACCAGCAGCACCATCATCCGCACCAGCAGCACCAGCAGCACCAGCAGCACCACCACAACCAGCAGCACCAGCAGCACCACCAGCAGCACCACCAGCAGCACCAGCAGCAGCAGCACCAGCAGCACCAGCAGCAGCAGCAGGAGCAGCAGGAGCAGCAGGGAGTCGATCAAGCGTGAGTGCATCTTTTGAGTGTTTATATTTCGGCAAAGACAGCGAAGGAGAAGACGTAAAGAAGATAGAGGATGGATCTATATCTTCTATTGCTGCTTGTGCTGCTGCATGCGCTGCAGCAGCAAACTGCAGTGTATATACATATAATCTAAGGAGGAGTTGGTGCTACCTAAAGACAACCAAAGACACGCCTGTCTTCACCCCACAAAAATCCTTCGCTGAACCACTGGTCTCCGCAGAAAGACACTGTCAACCGAAGCAGCCAGTACCCGCGAGAAGACTGCAGCAGCAGCAGCAGCAGCAGCAGCAGCAGCAGCAGCAGCAGCAGGAGGAAGAGGAAGAAGAAAGGGGAGAGGATGTTATGTACACGCAAGACAACAGCGGTATACTACCATCAGAATACACCGAGGGGCCCCTTGAAGGGTTTGGGGCCCCCATGGCCTATACAGCAGCAAACCCTAGCAGCAGCAGCAGCAGCAGCAGCAACAGCAGCAGCAGCAGCAGCAGCAGCAGCGGTAATCATTTTGCTTCAAAGGAGGGTACAGGTGTCATTCCACCTCTACCCCCTGCCGCAGCAGCAGCAGCAGCAGCAGCAGCAGGAGCAGCAGCAGCAGCAGCAGCAAGATCTCTGCAGTTCTATGGGGGGCCCCCTCCCCCACCCGGGGGAGGGTACGGGGGGGGCCCCCTAGGGTACAGATACTGGGGGGGGGGCCCCCTACAACGCCTCAACCAGCTCGTCGATCACCCCCTGAAGACTGTGGGGGGCCTCGTTGCTGATGACTTGCTGGGTATAGGGCCCGCACCCTACACGGGGGGGGCCCCCATGGGGGGCCCCCCAGGGGGGGGCCCCCCCCCAGTAGGAGGGTTTTTAGGTGTACGTAGACTAGAAAAAGTAGATGATTGCTTGCTGGGGGAATGCTGAGAATATAAACCCTAAGATATACCAATAGATATAAAGCGCCAGACGTGAGCTGGTGTAAACCCTAAGCAACCAAAACCCTAAACCCTAAACCCTAAACCCTAAACCCTAATGCAGACGACCAAACCCTAAACTCGAAAACCTGAAACCTTTGGCCTTTTGTTTTCACAAACCAAAACTCAACTCCATCTTTTTAGTTGATCGGTTACGAGGGTTTAGGGTTTAGGGTTTAGATGAGGGTTTAGGGTTTAGGGTTTAGTTCTGAGGCG